TAGCTACGGCCCTGAATACAGACTTGCCGACTGGAACTTCTCCAGGTCCCCCGCTAATTATGTCCTCTCTAGTTACACATCCTTAAGAAAGGCCCTGAACCAAATGTTATACCTCATAGCAATATGTATTATTAAGAGCAATGCATGAAGCTAGAAAACTCAACGTTAACTATAATTAAAGAATCTAAATAGTATAAGCTATTGAAAAATATCGCAAAAAAAAATCGTACATTGTGATGGGATAAAAAAAACAACCTTGCACATAACGATCCCAGAAAAAAATTCCCTGCCAGCAGTAAATCACCCACCCCCTCCCTCAAAAGTTAAATGGTTGGCCCCTTACTTTATGCATGGTTGTATCTATACAAGCGACGTCACTAACTGCCAAATAAGTAAATGAGTATAAAGTTGGCAGTTGCATGCTCTTTCGAGAGATTTCACTCCACTTATAAATTGAAATTATCGGCGGAGGTATATACAGTATATAAATAATATTCAATTTCCGAGAATCAAAACCACAGAATCAAAACTTTGAGGTGCAAAACTCCATGCAGAGAGAAAAAAAAAAAAAATCAGTCCAGTCCTGAGACGTTCAAGCTAACCAGATTCCCACCTAACCAGTTTCCGGCCCACCTATAACCAGATATGTTAAGATATGCGCAGAAGTAAAAATTTATTTTGTTAGACGTCCCCTATATAGACGCTATTAGACGCCCAAGAAACGCATTGCTATATGGACTACGCTATATTCTTTTCGCACATTTCTTTCTGATGTCTTTTGAGAATTTGTATCATGTGTGCAAAACAAACATGATGCGTGGATTTTGCTATATCTGATTCATTTGCTTCACCCATAACAATTATATAAGCGCATTCTATTAACTCCTCGTACGAATTGTTGTTGAAGACATACGATTATAATTGCCATGGCCATGCTGAAATCACTCAAAACGAGTGATGGAACAGCACTTTTAGACTCAAATACTGGCTTTTTCTCTCTCTCTTTCAAATTTCGAATCATGAATCCAATCATCTGCTGTATAGTGTATGGTTTGAAATCAATTCCGACTTTGGAACACGCATATGTCCAAATGGGAAGGGTTTCAGAAACCATAGCATAGTAAAGAAAACGCGGGTGATTCTGTCGTTAAATAACACAACATATATATAGAGGATATTACACAGCGGCGCGAGGATATGACTTTTATCTTCAAGTGGTGAAAACAATATTTTACGAACAAGCGTATGACGAGTGAGTAAAATATTGTTTTTAACACAAGAAGATAAAAGTCATTTCTTCAAGCCAACATGTGATGTTCTGTTTATTATATTATCCCAAGCAAAAAATTGTGAAATTTCACGCTCAAAAGCAAATTGGAAAAAGTCACGTCATCCGATACCTTCACTAGTGAAGATATGGAAAATATGTCACTGTGTATTTTTTAGTATCTCACTCTCTACTTTAATAAAAATTGGTACGCTGAATGAAAACTCACCGAAGCCGTAAATATTGTTCGCCAAACACACTCGTTCTTACTCTGTTGACCATGCAATTATCGGCAAAAATTCAAATATAAAAAATAGCTAAGTATTTAATTTTAACAATAAATTAAAAAGGCTAATGATAAACTAAATCTTTCCAAACTTTTATGAAAGAGGAACACTATTATACTGTTAAGTAGCAGTCATGCGAAATGAGCACGCAACAATACAGCACAACAAATGCAGTACATGAAGGATTCAATAAAGAACCATTATAACATTATAACAGATTTTGCCAACAGGTCAACCTGTTGATGAAAGGGGGCACAACCTCCCCGCACCCGTTTCTCTACGCTCCTGAAACTCCTGATATAAAATACCTGTCGAGCATGCAAAACACTAATCTACAAATGTTGGTTAATTTGTATGTTAAAAGATATATGAAACATTATTCTAATTATACTTTGATCAGAAAAAAAAGTTTTAAAATGATAATATAATTAACAATTATTCACCAAAGTGGAGGTGAATATAGCACAAGCGTATATTTCGAGCTGAGCAACCAATCAAATTGCGCGAAAAGCACTATACATCTCCCGAGTTTATCCTAACATTCTTTCTTATTTTCCATATCTTATTTTCAGCCTCGAGGTAATTATTGAGACTAGTTTGATATGTAAATTACACAGTTTACAGAATTGACGGTGAAATCGTCATATCCGCTCGGTATAGCTGCCCAAATTTGGAGTTATGATATCACCGTGGAATATTGAAAACAAATATATATACCACGTTTGACGTAATTTCGTGGTATATTGAGAAACAATGTAACACGCTATGACGTCACGCTAATTTATGCAGCTTAGTGCCAACAACCGGGAAAATACAATGGCTTCCTCGAAGGAAAGGTTCGCCAACCTTTTTTGTGTATTCCGACAAATAATTCGTCTTCGGCAGGTAACACAACCTCTGACTTAATAATTTCTCATATCCTACTCGACCTCATTCAATAATTGTTTAATATACATTCTTTCTGACTGAAATAATGGTCTCCCGAAATATTACAGATCAGTCACTTATTTAAAATTCTGTTTGTTTGTGTATAGCAAAGTTCTTAAGTCACCTGCCTTGATTCCAGATGCTCTTACAGATCGGCGAGGCAAATTAAAATAAACACGAAGCGAAAGAGCCACAAGCGCAGAATTGCAGAGGCCCTGGGTACGAGTTTGAAGAGTCTCTGCTCAAATTGATCATGAACCCCACTTCCATACTTAATTTATTAATTAGGTTTAGAATCTGAACTTCGCATGTGATTGGCTTTTTGTAAAAACATGTACCATAGCTAATTATATAGCATGCCATACACAGAGTAATGTTTGTGGTAACGTACATTTTTGTTGTACTTGTTTATTTCCCAAACCCGGCGATTTTGAAATATTTTTACAAATAGCCAATAACATATGTGAGGTTCAGGTTCTACCCTAAGAACAGCGTTCAGGTTCTGAACCTATTCAAGTATGGAAGTGAGATTAATTCGCAATCGATTTGACCAGAGGCACAGAGGCTCTTTAATTTCGCCTCGTGCATATTTTGCCTCGCCATTCTTTACAAATCACTCCTTTTCCAAGAAACCCTGCCCAAAAATAGAAAAGATATTTCTATTTTACTGTATAACTTATTATGCAGTGTGACTGACGTAGAAAGTTGTGTAATTTACAAATTAAACCAATCTCAACATTTCGAGGCTGAAAAGTATCCTTTCATATACTGTAATACCTTCAGATCCTGTATACTGTAATATCTACCAGCATCCAGATGCAGTATGTGCTGTTTACCAACTGACTACATCATGCATTCTTGTTAATTTCAGATTCAGCAAGTAATTGGCTTCAAAAAACAGAACTTAATTTCAATTTCCAAGTTGGTGATGTGATTGGGATCAATTGTACCCTAAGTGATCCCACCATAAATGTAACATTGTGGAAATCGTCGGGAAGCAAAACTGATTACCGTCAGATCGTTCCCAATGGCCGTCACGTTCAGCAGTTTAATCAAATATTTAGACTAATTAACCTGACTTCATCAGATAACGGTGAATATCAGTGCCAGGCAGAAAACATTACATCATTGAATGTGTTGGTCGTTCATGTTTCTAATGGCAAGTAATATTTATTATTTTTAAATATTCAATTAGAATGGTTCTTTGTTTATTTGCATAGCGATAATACTGTATAATACTTGTTTTAGTTTCTGGATAACGCCTTAACACTACATAAATATATTTATTATTGCAAAGATTGGAAAGCTTTTGATCCGTATTAAGCCCGGATCTTCATCTGTGCTGCATGCATTCATACATTTAAATAATTATACCATAAGCTCGAGTCGTATATGAGCTCATGCAATGCTACGCACCTCGTCAGCTATCAGCCATATGCGTAGTTAGAATGGTTTCTGAGGTTTCTCGTGAAATTTGGTCCAAAGGCAAAGAGCATCAAAATGGCACGAGTCCGAAGGACGAGTGCAAATGTGCAATTTGAAGTCTTTGAAAAACTCACGAGTGTATGTTTTTCCAATTTGCACGAGAAAGCATACTATTACTTCAACCTCGCAAGGCGTGTATGGGAAGGAAGCGGAAGTAGAGAGCCTGGCTTGCGAGATTGCTATTACTTAATATGTTTATATGATATATATGAAAGTTAAACCTACGGCCTACGCCATTTAAGCATTGTTTTCATTGCTTGTTAGCAGCAAACCTTTTCAGTCTACGTGCTCCTTGTACGTAAATTGCTATATATTTACGATTTTCCATTGAAAGTGTATGTGCAAAAAAGTGAAAATTTACATCGCTACTATCTGCATCCTCGTCCCCAGGTCCAAGCACGGGCGATGCTATCTGCCGCCATGTCATCATCATAGGTCATCATCCTCGTCCCCAGTCCCAAGCTCGGGGCCTGGGGACGAGGATGCCGCCATGTTGATTTTTCCCGCCTCGTTTCTAGGCTCTGCTTGGCTCTGCTCTTGTTTTGTTAATTGCACTGCAGGACACTACAGTAATTGCATAATGTGCAATTTAAAAATAATTGCACTGCTCTTGGCCAATCAGAAATGAGTTTTTCATCTATATTATTATATTTGATATATTATCAGAACTGATGGAGATCTGTAAGATCTTGTAAGAGCAATGGTGTAGATGTATAGTATAGTAGCTACGTCATAGATTCCTCGTGTAGTCTCTGACTTAGGCTAGGGCGTAGAAGAGAGGCTATGGCCATTGCTCAGGGGAAGGAGTGCAACAGTGACGCTTTTCATGTTGGAGTAACATAAATGACCTGATGGTAGAATCACAGTAATAAAATACAGATTAGAAAAATGACTATCGTATCGTTTTAACACTACAATTGGAAATAACGTTCCGATTATGCAATCTGCAAGAATATGGTGTTCCGCCCCACAAATGGACATTTTAATATTTTCCATAATTTAACAAGAAGGATCAGTTTTTTCCATTTAAAAGACAGATAAAAGCCATATTTTCCACTCGAACTAAAATTTTATTTATGTAGCGTGGCCGCCATGTTTCTTTGACCGTTACTTGAAGACTACTTTAAGCTGATTGGTCGATTTTAGATTTTTCATTATTATATTGTAGATTTTACAGATTTTTGCACTGTTGTTACAGAATTTTGCACTGTTGTTACAGAATTTTACACTGTTGTTACAGAATTTTACACTGTTGTTACAGAATTTTACACTGTTGTTACAGAATTTTACACTGTTGTTACAAATTTTACACTGTTGTTACA